ACTGTTTTCGCATTCCCGAGAGCCATGAATCTGCCGAAAGCACTCGTTACCCAATAAATCAAAATAATCCAAGCTTATTTCTCTCGTGTTATCGTATATTATATTATCCTTCGGTTCAAGTCGGTTTCGACTTGATAATTCGAAAGCAATTAATCAAATAACCCGTTTTAAACCCTTCGCCAATGTACCAGCAAATAAATTGTCTGCGGCTCCAACAACGTTCGGGTCTGATTGATTTCAAGTTACGCGAACAACGTAGTTGTACCTTGAACAATGGTCAAGCTGACGCTTTTAGAATCTGATTCCCGAAACGTGATGGTAATCGCGATTCCCTCAAACATAGAATTCGCTACGTTCACGTAGAATCGACTGTAATTACGCGGGACACCCTGTACGTCGTTGTTCTTATCGTTTCACTCGTTTCCGATACAACAGGCCCTCCGCCACCGCCGATACGACTCCAGCTAATGGCCTCTCCGTCGACTTCCTATTCCATCCCCCTGCGGAACTCGCCGTGCGCGCTCCCATCGCGAACGTTCTCGTTAATTACAACCGTCTTCCGTTCTATCCGTTTATTAATTAGCTCGGCTTCTTTATTCGAATGTTGCCGCAACAGCCAGAATTCGCTTGCCCGTTCTACCGTACGTCTTCTTCGATTGCCGCGCCGGTCGAGACGCTGCCTCGAGAAAATTTACATTTATCTCTCTACCGTCGGATGTCTCTTGAATGTTTGCTATTCGTAAATCCTTCTGAATTTCCGGCAATGCGTTATTATCGCAGACATGAAACGAGGACGGTAATGTTTGTTTGTTTCATAAGAAACTCGAATAAAATTAAAATGAACTATTAAAATGACGCGATAAAACTAAAAGAAATGAAAGAAATAAAAGAAATATCGTGCTATTAAAGTAAAGCGCAGACGAACGAAACTGCGGTGGGTTTGTGGCCAATAAATCGCGAGATTCGTTCCCGTGTTTGCCCGTATTTAAAGAAACTCCAGTAAACGTGCCAGCGGCGACTGTTTAGAAACGAATTTTCAAGTATCCACTTATCGTAAACGGAATTGCTAATTGCACCTGTAAACGGATAATCCGCGGCAGTAGTTATTGCCTTGTGCCCCTCTTTTTGCCGCCTGCTCGCACTTTAGAAGCGGCCGCGCGGATTCCGGAATACCCGGCGGAGCTGACGAGAACCGGCGGCGGCGAATCGATCCGTGAACGGAGATAATTAATCTTCGCTCGAACAATGATCAAAGATGCGAGCCACCCGTAACCACCCGTTCGAACGCGAACTTTGCCGGACTATTCAATTCCAAACTGTTTCTGTTTCTTCTTTTTTCTTGGGACACGTACGCGGTGTCGCAGATGCAACCAAGTGTCCTGGGCCCGTCATATTCTAAGAGCAAGCTATTCCCTTTTCGACCTATCCGCTACGACTATCTTGTACCAGGAAAATTCTTCTCTTCGTTCCGATTTTGCTGCTTTAACGTGGAAATGTTTGTAACCTGCTACTTTATAAGTTATCAAACCTCTTTACTATGGTTCATTCGTTGTTCCGTGGATGGTGGTATGTCAGATGACAAAGGTTAATTTCCGGTGACTCGAAAGTTCGACTCGTACGTTCGAGCAGGAAAAGCTGACGCATTCGTTTTTGTTTCATTTGAAATTCGAGGGTACAGAGGAACGTTGAAACGAACGGTAACACGAGCAAAGGAACAGGTGTCATAGGGCAATCTCGAGTTTGCGCTGGTTCTGTTCTTCGCAAAGTATGCGAATAAATAGTTCGAGTTACGATAACGGAGTCGGCTCGGTGCGTTTCTCGTTCCGAACGGTACAGGGGAAAGGAATCTCTTGGCAAAAAGGTCCTTTATCTTCGCCGGGTAATCCCGTTTAGAAAGATTAATCGGTCGGCGACTTTCGAGCGGAAGTTCCCGATACGAGGAATAAGCCGGGCAGAGGCGAGCCGGATCGAATCGACGTTGAACCTGCACGAAATGGAATTTCCGCGGCAATACTGTACCGCGGAGTCACGGATACCACGCGAGTGTACCTCGAGGCGGCACTTCGAAAAAGTTGATAGAATTTAATGGGGCTGGGCCTGGAATCGCAAACTTTTCTCTAGCGACGGGAACGAGATCGAGATCGGGATGTTGAGTGGTAACGGAAATATATTTGGTTGCGAGCGCGACCGTCTTTTCATTTTCAAAATTCAATTATGCCTTACCGAAAACGCATTCAACTGGCACGAATAAAAATGATTAAAGCTGACAGGAGAGATTTTCGAACATTCAGATTCGTAACGAACACAGAATCCTTCTCTTCTAGGAAGTGATTCGCGATTCCATTAATTATGAACGTTTAACGTCAATTCTGATAAGTGCAATTTCTTGTTCGAGAAATCCATAATCTATTTAATGCAGCGGAAATACCTTGAATGAAATTTATATGAATCCATATTGGAATCGATCAGCCATCGGTCCGCTATTCGATAAAAAATTTCATTAAAGCAGATGTTTATTCTTCGTTTATTAATCGAAAATCAATATCGGCCAGCTGATAATTGCATTATCCGAGAGTCGACGTGCACGCAAAATCACGATTCCGGATTAATTTGAATGCGGTAGGTTCCGCGTATGAAAATGAAAATACAAAGCCCTAAACTTCCGAAATTCGAGCGCGCCGAGCGTTATACTTGTTTGCCTTTGCGCGGAATATCGTCGGCACAATAAGCACTCGTACACCGGTAATGAATTAGTCAGGTATTCCAAATTATTCCGGGAAGTAATGGCCGCCGAAGAATAGTCCAGCGAAGAGGGAAGTTTCGTAATTTCGTTGTTGGAACTGCCGGAAACCCGAGCGTTCTCCGTCGAAACACTCTCGAAACACCGTCGAATGGTGAATGGGAACAGCGATTCCGTCGGAAAAGTGGTCCTTTCCCGTCGACTTTATCGCCGACGAGGGCCGACAGATCCAAACACGGGACCGCGAATAATTAAAAAGCTCGCGGCCAAACCAGTGAAAACTTGTCGGAAACTGAGTCTGCAAACCCAGCGAATTTTGCTGATATTGAATTTGATAAACGAACGAATATCAATTTGTCTAGAAACTAGTAAATCTAGCGTTGTAGATCTTTTTGGTAGAACCCTTTGTTCGGGAGCTACAGAGTCGACGTGGCATTTCAGCTGGACGAGGCGAAAATTCCGTGTCCAATTTGCAATCGAATTACACGACGATCGCGACGGAGTAAGAAACCAGGCGAGCGTCTCCTCGAAGCTTCTACAGGTGCTCGATTATCGTGACACTCGAGGAAATATCGAGAAAAGTCGTCAGGGAAAGGCGAGGGAAAGAGCAGAGAATGGCGCGACGCGCAATTTGCCCAGCAGGATTTTCGACGGAACGATAGGCTGAATGACGACAGTCGGGAATCAGAAGCGATTCGGAGTTATTGCCGGGGGATTGTAATTTCCGGGCGGGAGGCGAACGTTTAATGCGGCAGGGTCACGGTAGGGCTGCGACATCGCGCGGAATGGGATAAGGAGCGATCGGGCAGCCATCGACCGCTTTTAATCAATCTTTATTTCGGCGAATCGCGCGCTTTCGATAACCCCGCGTCGCCCGAGACGCTCGTCTCGTCTCGTCTCGTCTCATTTCCAATTTGCAGCTGCGACCGTTTATTAGCCTTGTCACGGCCGCCCGGTGGATTTTCGCCGATCGATCAACGGATCGGTCTTGAACATTTAATTAATCCTGCTGGTTCTCCTTTGACTTTTCAAGCTTAGACTTTGCGCTCTCCGATGCATTTTGCCAAATGAATATCGTAGAGTCGGTTCTTTTGCAGTATTTCGAACGCCTCAATTTCACGCATATTCCATTTAAGAAACATTCTTCAACTATTTCGAATAAGCCTGATTTTGTAAGTAAGATTTCAGAATGTCGTATTCGCGCGAACCATGACGAGTTAAATGCTTTTAACCGTCTACAGTCGAAGTGACGCTGAGCCATCGAATTGAAATGGAATAATCGGTAAATTTTCCGTTCTTCCGGATTAATCCTGACGGATTAAAACGTACCGTCGTTACGCTAAATGATTTATCCAGCCAAAATTGAGCGAGCGACAAGGCCGCGGGGGACGGGCATGTTTGCTTTTAAATATTTTGCCATTTATCGCATCCGTGGCTGACGTGGAATAATTGAAATGTAATTCTGCTCTCATCCGGAACAGTGGACGTTCGTTCAAATAACAAATCGACGCAAATTTGTTCCGCGGTGAAACAATTTTATATTGGTCGCGTGTTTTCATTAGGCCGAGGTGATTACCGGTTATCGACGAATTCTGTTGAACGATAACTTTCAAAAGCTTCTCCTTGAATCGGTAAACGTTTCAACGGAATAGGAATGGCTGTAACTCGCAAAAAAAGTTGAAAGGAATTTTGTACGAACTAAACTAAGACTATTTCGCGTTACGTAACGATTGCTAAACGGGCAGGGTGTATTTATAAAAGAGCTGTAAACACGATCGATCGACTCTCTGCTCACAAATTTATTCCGAGTACGGTAATTTTATCGTTGACAAATTGATTTTCTTGAAAGTTTTCCACTATTTTTATGCCTCCCATCGAAGCCGCGCGCCGTGCGCCGCGCGCCGCGCACCACGGGTAAGAGACCGGAATGATTTGGTCCAGTTAATACGCGTTGAGCCGACCATTCATGGTTGAAGATAACAAAAAATAACTCTCGCTCGATACCGCAACGTCCGGCACACGACCGCAGGTGCATTAACACGAACGTCGCGAACGATCCGCCTGCCGCGGGCTCGTTTCCATCGTTTTCACCAGCGACAAAAAATTCGAGCGATCCGAAGCTACTTTATTGACTGACAAATCGCGAGGGAAAAAAGGAAAGATAGGGTCGTCGGAAACGCTGCGAAAGCTCACGCGAATAACCAACCAGGAAGTTGACCGAAACGCTCCCACGGCTCGACTGAGCGGAACAAGAGACAGCCGGGATAGCTAACAAATGAATTGTGTAGTTTATTTTATTCGTATATATAAATATACATGGAGCAGTCATGAAAGAATCGGATTCGTGTAATACGGTTTGCACAGACTTATGTACACGTACAGAGATTGTTGAAGTCGCGTAGCAGCGGCAACAAAGTGAACCAACTTATTCTTACGGACCATTCGAGTTCCATGTCGCGAGATATTCACGCAAAGCTGCTACCAGAAAGTTCAATCCTCGTCCACGAATGTATGTCTCTAATAATATGCAAAGCGTCTAAATTTATTCTGATTTACCGGGGCGTTACTTTCATACCGCGATATCATAAATATACAAAATTCATGTGTCCTTTCTTTACTTCTTTCTTTCTTTCTTTCTTTCTTTCTTTCTAGTTTCCGAGTTCTCAACCGGTGTAGAAATAACCGCGCGGGAATCAGTTGTCTGGACCTGCTCTCACCCTGCAACATCCTTATTGAATATCTGATCGCCGCGGTTCGCGCAGGCGACCAGATACCCGATACGGTCGATTCGGTATTACACTAGCAACAGTAGGAAATAGAATACGTTATTAATAATAGCGGTAAATTCATCGTGCGTGGTAACGAAACAGAATGTTATATGAAATGTTGTTGAGATCAATAATCTTGCACAGAGTCGTAATTGTTGTAGGGAGGGGGATCTGGACGACCTTCCGGGATCCTATATTTCTCTTCGACTTCTTGCTCGTTGTCGTCCTCGTATTTTACAGCCGTGAAGTAAGACCCGGACGATTGGAAGGTATTGCTATAGTCAGGATAATCTGAAAATATTCGTTCGAACGGTTAGTCGTAACCGATGAAACCCGATGGGAAGCGCGAGACGAACACGCGTACCGTCCAGTGGTTCTTCTTTAATTCGAATCTCTTTCGTGTCCTCGTCCTGACGATCGCCTCGATCTTTTCTATCTCTGCGCTCACGGTCGCGATCGCGTTTGTCCCTCTTGCGATCCCTGTCGCGGTCGCGATCATTGCTCCTGGACCGCCTTCTCTTGCGATCACGATCGCGGTCGCGATCACGATCGCGATCTCTCCTGTCGCGCGGCCGCTCGTCGCGCTGTATCTCCTCGATATCCGGATCGGGTAGGCGATCGCGGCTTCGCCTACGCTTCCGATCACGCGACCTGCTCCTCGACCTTCTTTTCCGGTCGCGCGACCTTCTACGCTCTCTGTCCAAGCGATCGCGATCCCTGCGGAAATGAAACGAAACGAAACGAAACGAAACGAAAGATTAATTGGACGCTAAGATAAATAATAAGATAAATAAAGACTGACCTGTCTCTATCGAGGCGTCCAGAAGTCTCCCTCTCCCGTTCCAAACGATACCGTTCCCGCTCCCTCTCGTTATCTTCGCGGCCAGAGTGTTTAATGTTCACATCGGGCCCTCCTCTTCGCGTACCGCCGAGGCCACCGCCGAGCCTCCGCGGAAGCCATCCCTTCACGGTCCTAGCCCGTTCCACGTCGACCAACACTCTGCGACCATCTATTTTCTTACCATCCGCATGCTTATAAGCAGCTAAAAGTACCGATACAGAATTACCAATTGATCGGCCCGTCGAACGCGCTACTTAAAGTACACTATGGGACTTCTACCATCCCGGGGAAAGAGTTCATAGGTGGCAGAAGGGATGATTATTAATGTTTTTCAACATCCGAAAGAGACTTCTCCTCTTACTGCACTCTAGAGGAAACGTCGCGGCCATGGAAATGCCTCGTCGGACAAGAACCAATTTTTCTACGAAACATCATTGATTTTTCGTTAGATTTTTTTGCCAACTTGTAATTTCAACGATCGCGCCGAGGAAACGAAAGACAGGCGCGAACGCGCAGGACGCACGTCCCGAGAACGGAAACGGAAACGGAAACGGGAACGGAAACGGAACCGGAAACGGAACCGCAAACTGAAATGACGAGACCCGCGAAGACACCCGCGAAGACACCCGCGAAGACACCCGCGAGGACACTCGCTCGATTTTCGTCGCGGCTTCTCGCGCAGATGATCAAGGATGGTCGTAATAAGGTATCGGCACATGTTATTCCTGATCACGTCCGTAAACGGTTGCAACGCGCGTCATTTTATAAAGTAAAATGTCGTTACTCTGCACACACACACACCGTGACGATACTGCGCGAATAATTAATACACTTCGCCCGGACGATCGTCGTCGTCGTCTCCGGACACGCGCGGCCGATCGCGTTGGCGATGCTGCATGGTTCCGCGTGTCGGATCAAGCGCAGAAAGCAATTGTACTAACGAATCGGATGAGAGATGCGACTACGGCGTGTCTCGTTGCGGCGTCTCGGGAATATCGAGAGACACATGGCCAATCGTGTCGCGGTAGATGATATATACCATTTTACCGTATAAAATCACGAGGTGGTACGTTACACTCGCGGCCCATGAGTCAGCAATAAAATGTACGGAACTTCGTCTCGGTACCTTAAATCTACAAGTGTTGATAAAGTTCAAAAAAAGTATAGCAGATACAAAAATACCTACCGCGGCTACTTACGTACGGAATTGTTAACACAAATCTTAGAGGTACGTTTAATTCGTGAAATGAACTCGTAAGAGAGACTCGCGAGCATAGAGTAGGCCAGCGCGTATGCTATTCATTGGGAAGGTGCCCAGTCTTCATATGTTCGGTTCAATCACTCCGAAGAAGCTTTACTTTTCATTTACCTGGTGCGCTTTCTTTCATATATTTACTTACGACCAAACCGTGTGCGCAAGTATCGTGTATATGCTTTTACTTGTTTTCTGTTCTCATTCTTTTCCTTTCTCGATGCAGTTTACACTCGCATTCCGCTCTAGTTCATACGATTAATCTCTATCGTGACCAAGTCGGCTGACCGAGTGCCGCGCTCGCATTTTCCGGATCCTCCGACGGATCGCACCGCTTCTCGAGTCTGCTGTACGTCGATATCGCTTTTTCGGAGCAACGGGAAACAGCTCGGCGGGGGGCACTGCTAGCCGAACTTGCACCGGATTTCCTAAATCACGCCAGCGGGCTCTTTTAGCGGACTCTTTTAGCGGACTCTTTTAGCGGACGCTCAAACTTCTTTTCAACTTTTCAACTTTTCCCGTTGCTCCTCCAAAAGGAATGATAGACGTCGCCAACTTCCCGGGCACTACGATCCGACGGAGGCTCGTTAAACGGCGTAACGCTCGGGCAGCTTGCTTCGTAACACGAGTTCTCTTTAGTCTAACGATTCGCTTTCTTACTTCTTTTTCTTTTTCTCTTTCTCTATTCTTGTTCGCGCTTTTCATCTTACACGGGGAACTTGGTTTACACGATCAGAACATGCAGCGTTCTTTCGCATTGCTCGTTCTCTCGAACACAGACTACACGTTCAATTTGAAAAAAACTGATCACAGACAATGTTTTGTGTGTAACACACTGTCCGTGGAACTCACCGATTCCGAGCGAGCCAGACAATTCGGACTCTCGGGACAAATTAGTATTCTATATCGAAATTGATATGTTCAAGGACTTGAATGATTGGATGACCCACCGAGTAAGATGAGAGACTAGCTACCGTAAACGTTCAGTAAAAACGAAAACAGCGACGAAACAAGATACCCGAGAAACAATAATCGATTAGTTTGAAACATGCATTTTTGGTACTAGACCTAACGAGAATATATATATATATATTCGCTTTTTTCCCTCTTTTCTCTTTTCTATAGTCCGCACGGTGCCCG